CACAGACTGTGAGTCACCAGGTCTTCTGCTGCCTGTTTCCCGTATCAGACGGAATAACTTACGATGATTGCCAACGGCAGCGGCTGTTTCCATTTCCGATGCACGATGAGACCACCAGGTTTCGCGATCCTTCTTCAGGCTAGCACGTAGTTTTGCCCTGAGATTTTTGCGAGTCTCATTGTATTCGTTTCCAGCCGGAATACATCGGCGAGCATCCATAAGTTCCAGAGACTGCGTAGAGACCCAATGTCCGGTTTGGCAATTTGCTTTGCCACATGAAGACATGCCTGCTAACAGCAACGCTTGACGAATATGCGACCAGTGATCTTCAACAGTGTTTAGTGGGCGCCTGCTCAGCCCAGATGTCAGCGCACTTTGGTACACATTCAGAACATCTGGCTTCGCCAGCTGGCTGGTGTCAATCCGTTCACATCGACGTTGCGGACGTCCACCGAAACGCACTCGGAGTTCGGCGCAGACAAGTGCGTGGTCAGAGTCCACGCTCGTGCTCCAAATCGAGCGACAGTTTTGGACACAGCCTCTCCAGCGGTAACTGATCGCGATATGATCGATTTGCGTCCATGGCTGATGGCCGCCAAGTCACACTTCTGCTGGTGCTGTGTCGAAAGTTAGTGCTCGCGAGAAAGAGGCGAGCATCTTCACACAGCTGTAGCAATCGCTCACCATTATCATTACGGCATCCCACACCATGTTGGCCGCCCAGATGAAGCTCCTCAGAGGACAATTTCCCGACTTGGGCGTTTAGATCACCAGCCAACACCACAGTATCCGTGTTTCTTCTGTAACGAAGGAGCTCGTGCAGTTGCTGATAGAAATAATCTTTTACCGAGTCAGTGCTACAGTTTGTAGGGGCGTAAGCCGCAATGACAAACAGGCACCGTTTGTCCCCGCGCGACTTCGTAGCACGGAACGAACCAGCTAAGCTAACGGCGCACATCCTACTGTTTACTGGGATCCATTCAATCAGGGCAGCTTCAGCCCGGGTACTCAAAACAATGCCGACGCCAGCTTGACCGGCATTTGAAGCTGCATCATCACCAGACAGGCGCAATGAGAATGTGCCGCCAGTGTCACGTGTAGGGGATCTCAGGGTAAGCACGGAGCTCGAATCTTGCAGGCGGGTTTCTGATAAACAGTAAATATCAATCGACAGGGTCTCTAGTGTGCGGGCAAGTGCTGCCTGTTGGCCAATCTGCAGCAACGTGTGCAGGTTGAGGCATGCCAATCTTAGCGAGACACGAGGATTCCAAAGGGAAACGGATGAACTGACGTTGTTCGCTTGGTTGAACATGGACTTGTCGACTGGACTGGAGCGAGGCCCTGCGATTGTGTGTGATTTGAGATTAGAAGACAAGCGACTACTAAAGTAAGCTAGGGGGGCCAAGAATTGGGGGATTGAAAATGGGGGGATATAAGTAAAGTCGGAGCGGGACAATAAGGATGAAAAAGCGCAAGAAGGGGTATAAGAAGACGGGAAGGCCTGAGCAGTAGCATCCAAACCCCTATCCACCCTGCTCGATGCCGCAGATAGGGCGCCGTTTATTATCCTCTGCGACGGCCAGAGCATCAAGAAAGCATGGCAGGAAAGGTTCATTGTATTGGGGTAAAAATGAAGCTGGAACGGGACGATAAGGGAGAAAAAGCGCAAGAAGGGGAATAGGAAGACGAGAAGGCTTGAGCAGTAGCAACCAAACCCCTATCCACCCTGCTCGATGCAGCAGATAGAGCACTGTTGATTATACTCTGCGGTGGCCAGAGCATCAGGAAATTGTGTGAGGAAACTCATAGGATTGCGTGGACAGGATACTGTCAGGTTGCCTAGACATAGACAGGAGAACGATTAGGGTTCTCAACCAAAGCCTTTGGTTAAAAAAGCTTACCGCAAGGCAACGGGTTTGGCGTTGGGCTACAAGGAGTCCGTTTTAAGGAATAAGGTGCCACCCTCATTCCAACCCCCAACCTGGAGGCTGAGTTTGTCTGGCCTCTAACCATTGACCAATCTGGTATGAGTGGCTCTGAAGGTGCAAAAGTACCACCTAGCATAGCTCAATGGATCTCTGAGGCACACCAACCATCGCACCACGGTAAGGTCCAGCCTCATTGCGATAAATCATTGAATGATACATATAGTATGATGCTAGAAAATGCAAATAAGACCCAACGGAAAAGTTAAGCTGGGGACATGCCATGTTCGCCGATGAAGGTTGTTGGATTAACCGCGACAGTAGTTGGAAACCCACTAGACGTAACACAAGTGAAGAAACTACGGTGCCACTACTAGTAACTAATGATCCTCTCTTAGGTTTGATTACCACCACTTTGACCGTCTGCAAGTTGATTTGTTTTGTTTTTCTGTTAGTTATTATTATCATGGCAGCGCAAGCGGAGATAGCCAGCTCAATTACATTCAAAAGCTCAGATTGCTACTGATGGACCGAAATAGACAAAACCGCGAGGTCTAGGCACTAATATTAAAATTTATTTGTGAGGCTGAGAAGGTTAGTCAGTCGGTTTTGCTGATGTGTTGTTGAGGTGACTAGATGACGGGACGACTAAGGGAACGGTCTTCCGGGCAGCGATTTTGGCAGGCAAATGTATACGCTCTTTCGTTTTTGAGCCTAAGAAGCAAAACTAGTGAATTGCCTAATTTATGGTGCTGTCCCGATTTGCGGCCCATGGACGATAGCAGAGGAAATTAATCCGGCTTGTAAGCAACTATTACCCTGACGGATTCATTGAAACGCAAGGTAGCCTGAGATGATCCCAAAGTAGTGATTACTGAGAGAAAGAACCTTTCTTGCAACTCACCTTAGGCTGCTTAAATGAAATCTGCTGAGTATAAGGAACGAGGAGTACCCTGCTGTTAGAGTTGATGCTCGCATACAAACCGCAACGTCCATTGCCCCGAGAAAGAAATACATTGTGCATTCGGTGCGTCGTGAGGACACCTAGCTACCAACCACCGGAATTCACGCGCGGACTGGGGATACTGAGAAATCGCCCACACCTACGCAGACTCGAACCGATGACCATTGGGCTACAATAAGGTGGACACCTTGTCCTCTCCGCCATCGGCCGACACTACTCAGTGCGTTAAATACAGTAAAACCTCAGTGATTGATCATCTCGCTCTCTAAGCTGACCATTTTATTTTTCATTGTTTGGACGTTCACCATGTGAACCTTATGGATATGGACCTTTGTATGTTGGCCACATTGGTCCAGTGCCATGAGTGGTCAACTTACGGAGATTTTAATGTATAGGGTTACGGTTGACTGTATCCTTTGACTTGTGTCAGTTGATGTATGGCGACGGCACCTCGGACAGGCGGCGATGCATCTTAACGCAACATGATACGAGTAAGTAGGTGCATACAGTTTCAACCTGGAGCACTTTCCCAACGAAGGACACAAAATTAGGACCAAAGAAACACTAAATGCATTCGTCCAAAGGCGGCTGTTGATCAGAACTCAAATAATTACTGACAGTCTATTACAGCTCAGTGTGAAGCAAGGAAAATTCTAAAAAGACCAAAGATCTGCCATATCTGTATCATGATTACGTACATAGAGGTGGCGGTTGGTGATTCGGGCATCTGGCTTGTAATTGACAGCTCGCTAGCTTGCATCTGTGTAAGTGCATGTGGTCTTACTGTATCATCGGCCCAAACGCGAATGCTGATGGTACCGCATGCGCGAAGTGTCGGTAAGACGTAAGCGCGCACTACTGATGCTTTCTAAACCATGTCAATGGTTTCCAATATGCATATAGTCTTTGATTATCGCAATCGCCGGAAGATAATATGCGATTCACAAGTGTAAAAGCCTAGCGAGATTCATAGAATTAAAATTCTCTTGAAAATAAAAGGTTGCCGATAGCGAATTAACTAGCCCCACATGCCATTCCCATTCCAGTCGTCTGTCTTCACCGTGAACCGTTTGTAGGCGCAAAGTATGTAGGTGATGAACCCGCAGCTTACTGCCTCAGATGACAACCGGTACACCAACACCCATGGTAGATGAAACGATGATTAAGGGACCAAAAGATAAAGTGAGACGCAGCAATGAAGCAGAGCCGAGGAGATGTGAAGAAAGAGAGATGTGGCAATGCAGTTTATATCGAGAAAAAGGAGAAAGACGACAGTCTTGAAGTAGGAAGAAGATAACTTGGGAAAAACATGATGCTCGATGAATAAGTCAGGTGGACAGGTCAACCGGATGAGACAGATCATATAGTTCCGTTCGAAACCATACATCTAGCACGAGCATGCGATCACCCAGTTGAAGTATATGGTATGTTGTGGATAGGTCGGAGATTCGGATGGAAAGCACTTATCAGGTAAACAACATCCCGGCCAGAAGCAATGATCGCTTGCTTCTGGAATGTTCAGCACCAACGACTGAATTATCACCGGCGGCATTGGAATTTGACTTCACAGCTGAGGCTTCGGGGAGTGGCATAACTGCAGCGGGAGTGACTGAAGAGGATGGTTGCCTGACGGTCAGGTAGATGGTGACAACAAAGATCAGAATCAGTAGGAGGATGGTCCCCATCAAAACGATACGATTTTGGAATATACTAGAAAGGAAAGAGAAAATATGGAGCAAATATACGAGAAACGGGTCTGGTAATAGGTATTTCAATCTCAACAAACATGGTTAACACCAATTACAAAACATTGCAGCAAAAGTAAATCAATACACGTCAAGTGCAAGGTCATGTGAGTACGGCATAGGCACGGACAAGGAGTTAGAGGGCGCTAAAACGGGTATAACATCATTTGGTATTCAGACGACATATGGGACTGAGACGTATGCAGAGCTCCGAGGCTACGAATATGACAGCCAATAATAATAATATCAACCAGTTAGTTTTAAACCAGGAAGCTATGAAACTGTGCTTGTCGTCACATTCTAGCATCCATATACGAAGCAACCTGACTCTTATAAAAAAATCCTATATTCTCGTAAAATGTGAGGCACGCTTGTATAGTTATGATTATGGTACAAGTACAGGGGAACGTACAAAAATGGTGCAGGTTTGCCATTAACGTTGGAGCTATGAGTTTATACATGTATGTGGGAGTGCATGTGTGTAGCAGTTACTCGAGTTTGTATATGTACCGCTGCACTTGTGATTGATCGCGTGGATAATGTGAGAAGGGATGAATGACGTCTGTGATAGAGGTGTTTGGCTAGGTAAGCATGCGGCAGTGACTTTAGTTGGAGGTGAGTCACATACGTCTCGTCGCAGTGTCGTTAAACAGACATTAGTGGCTATTCATAGGGAGAACGCTTGTCAGGCGAAAACTCACCACGTCCTGGAGCACCGGCACCGAACATTTGCTGGAACTGGTTAGATCCGAACCACCCAGCTAGTGCAACGGGGAAGTCATCGTTGCACTGTCGATTAAGGAGCCTGCGGTTGCTGAAAAGCCATCAGCGAGTGATTGGACGCTTGACAATCAGGATCGCAAGTTCTGTAGGTATGTACTGATTCAGGCATGTTGCGGTAATCATTTGTTCCAACGGTTTTTATCGGCAAGCCACGGCTGCTCCGATCCCCTGAATTTGGGTATCCAGATCCTGTTGTCCAATGGTTAATAAGTAATAATAATGTGTCAGCTGTACGCCGTAACGGCGCTTCGCTGCCGCGCGACAACCACCAGTCGCGCGCGGGCTGAGTATACCGGTAGGACGCCCACCCCTACGCGGATTCCAACCGGTGACCTTATGGTTGCAAACCAAACGTGCAGACCACTCGGCCACCGGCCGACAATATCATCAGCATGCTCCAATTCATGAAGTTTATCACCCTGAAGAAGCTCCGCACCATCTAGTGTGTTTAATGAACGTGTTTCCATGACTTTATCAATGTCCAATGGTTAGTAGACCAGGAAGGAGGTGAGTGCGCTGGAGATCCGGTATGATCCATGTTTGTCATTGTAGGTTCGTTTGTTCGCAGACCCATGGGCCAGACGTGGCTCCCTGGTAAGTTACTGTTGATATGTTCAAACAATATGGTTGCATTACATCCAGACTTTATAAGACAGTCGGTTTACATCGGTGGTTCCATTCTTCGAGAGCTACATTTAAAACACTTGACCAATAGTACAATCGATAGAAAGCCACAACATATGGAATGATACAACGATAGTGAACAGAAAAAGGTGTAAAACGGAAGTAGTGTCTCACATGTTCGGCATTGTGCACGGCTTCTTGCTGTGTTCGAAAGGGTTTCCGGCCATATGTGCTCGTGTTCTTTGTGTCCCCAGCCAGGAAGCCAAGAGCGCCCGACCGCAGCCAAATGTGAGGTTAACGCCTTCGTATACTTTTAGCCCAAGTCATACGCTGGTCAGTTGTATTCGCTTCCAGTCGATTTCTGTGTGTTCAATGAGTACATCGTGAGATATGCTCAGTAGGCATGCGAAGCAAGTGCCCAAGCAGCGGCCTGCAAAGTCTGTCTGAGCTAAAAATCCTTAAACGAACATCCCCAGTACTAGTGTGATGCTGCCATCGTACACCAGCAATGCTCCGAAGGTAGCGGTGAGCAAAGACAGACAGCCTTACAACATTCTTTGTACGAACAGGTAAAATCTCGCAACTAAAGAGCAGGACAGCTCTTACCGCGGCATTGTAGACTCGGCCTTTCAGGGAGAGATCGAGGTCGCGTCAACGCTAGAGATCAGCAAAAGCAAGCCGGATGTTACAGCCGCGGAGAGACCTCATTCGTTAAGCAGTTAGCTCTGATGAAGCTCCCGAAGTAAACAAACTTGTCTGCAAGTTCCAGAGAATGAGCTGAAAGGTTAAGGGAAGAAATAGCTCCTGACCAGTCTTGTAGGAAAACCTTACACTTCGATGGGGCGTAGGTCATTCCATACTGGGAGAGAGATAACTTCAATTTACATAGCACGTTTTGGGTGGCCTGTGAGGAGTCGCAGATTAAGGCGATGTCGTCTGTATACCCCAAATGGCGAAGTCGGTCCCCCGCAAGCAGTTCAATGCCAATGGGTTTGCATTTCTCCAGAGCACTCTCTAGGATGTTATCCATAGCGAAATTGAATAGGAAGGGTGATGCTGAGCAGCCCTGTCTCACGTCAATGGGGATACTAAAGGGAGGCGGAAGTTCACCGTAGTCCCGCATTCGGCGGGTTCGGGAACAGATGGCTTGAAGGATGTTGACATACTTCTCGGGCACTGCTTTTCTCAATGGGCAGTTCCAGAAAGTGATCAAACGCAAACAGTTGGCTTAGTTCTGTCGATCTGATGAGCCAGGTTTCACAGCCGGGTTGAACAGATGGCTGCATCGTAGCGTACCCTTCAAAGCGAGAGTGATGTCGCGCCGGTACCGTAAATAGCGAAGTTGGGTAGAAGCGCTTCGAATATGTGTTATGCGGTTTGTCATATCATATTCCATCTCACAGCCGTCCAGGCAGTGAAATTTCTGAACGACTTCTAGCTGATCACCATCAAGGGTAGGCACAGAAGGGGTTCCTGCCAAGCTTGGAGGAATTTACATTTAGACGGTGCAAAGCAGAGCATCAAACGACTGAAGGCCAGTGTTAATCTGTACAGTGCTGCTTGGCATGTTTGTGAGCTGTCACACATTGGAGCAATATCATAAGCATGCTCCAATTCATGAAGTTTATCACCCTGAAGAAGCTCCGCACCATCTACAGTGTGTTCAATGAACGTGTTTTCCATGACTTTATCAATGTTGAAGTTAAAAAGATAAGGTGACAACGGGCAACGTTCACACCGTTGGAGATATCGAAGGGTGGCGACAGCTTGCCTTAAGCCTTCATACTGCCAGAACATATTTATCGGGCACACCTTTCCAAATGAAACAGTACCTAGGGGCACATCAACCCACAGGATCGAAGGCACCTTCGGTGTCTAGAAACACGAACACAGCGGGTCGACAATACGCGTGGATGTGCTCCAACAACTAATGAAAAGCGAACATCTGATCGATACGGGCACAATTTCGAGGAAACCCGATTTGCTTTTTAGGAGCGCCAGTCAATGCATGAAGAACGATAGAGGCAAACACCTTAGAGTCAGGATAGATCAGACGGATCCCATTATGATTGTCGCATTCTGAATGTGAGCCTGCTTTGAAAATGAAGACCATGACGGAGCACTTTCAGTCGATTGGGACAGTTGTCTGTTCCCAAGGTTATCTTTGTAAACACAGGAAAAATCGTGTATAAGAGCTGGTCTCCCAAAGTTCAAGAACGTTGGAGGAAGTTCATCCGGTCCTGTACGTTTACCAAATCTTAGCAGTCCAACCCCCAAATGGACGTTTGCGCCAGAGGACGGATCGAACTCTGTCTGACGCCACTGGTGATACTAAAGGGGGTGAAAGTTCACCGTACACCCGCACTCGGCCCGAGGTTTGAGAGTAGATGGCTTAAGTAAGGTGACATACTTCTCGCGCAATCCCCTTCTCAGTAGACAACTCCAGAGAGCAGCTCTATCAAGTGAGTCAAAGGCAGCTCCTATGTCTAGGAAGACAACGATCGTTGGCCTGCCAAATGTTCCACGATGATCGAGTAATTGGCAGAGTGTAAAGATGTGATCGATGCAACTCCGACCTGAGAGGAACCCAGCTTGCTCTTCACGTATGCTCTGTTCGCATAACACGCTGATCCACTTTAAAAGTAGAGCAGCGAGCACTTTGGAAGAAACGCAGATGAGACTAACCCCTCTGTGATTAGCGCAGTGTGTCCGCGCACCCTTCGTGAAGACAGACACGATATCCGCTAGACTCTAAGCAGACTGGATTGCTTCAGTTAGCCAAACCTCTTAAAGGAGGAAAGTTAACTCCTGAAAAAGCGATGGGCCTCCATCTTTGAAAATAGCCGGATTGTTCATATGGGCCAGGGGCTCTGTAGCACTTTAGGAGGCGAAGCTCGTGAGTAACCTCAGCCTCAGATAGTGGTGAAGCGTATACACACTAGCGAGCGCTCTGGATTCCAGAATGGGAACTCATCGGTGCTGCTGGACAATTAAACTGCTGCTCAAAGTGCTCGGTCCAATGTTCGATTCGGCGTTCTTGACAGCGGATTGGCTCGCCATTGGTTTCGCATAAAACTTCGCTTACAATCGGCCTTTTGCCGCCAGCAGATAGGATCAGGAGGAAAAGCTTACGCAAATTCCCCGAGGTGACCGCTTGCTCCATCTCAATGACCCGCTGCGTACACAAGGTCTCGCGATCTTCCCACAGAAGCTGCTTGAGCTCAGCGGTAGTAGTCTTGAGTATTGAATAGTATTTAACGCTAACAGGAATTGCTCGACGGGGTTCAAGAAGTTGGTGCAGAGATCCAGTGGTTGACAGGACTACTGGCGAAGCCACAGAACAGAGTCGCGGAGTTTTACATGGCGCCGCGGATGGTTGTCCAGTGTGTTTCAATGTCTGTGCATGAGGCAGGCCTCAGTCTTGAGGCCAAGACATCCTGAAATGAGCAGAGAACGTTCGAGGCAGAAAGCTTAGCTACATCAAGCCATTTCTGGCGACGCTGCTGGGAGCCAACAAAACGTAGCGCGATATTCGCACACATCAACGTGCAAATCCGA